CCACAAAAAAAAAAAAAAAAAAAAAAAAACAAGACAAAAAGATAACATACTTTGAAAAAGCATACAATCTTCGAATTGTCTCTGAAAAGGAAACCCTAGAGGTTTAGCTTTGTGGTGTGGTCGGTTGAGGAAAAATTGGGAGAAGAAAGCGAGGTGAGAGAGTGGGTTAATAAAATAAGATGGAGGTTTATTAAAAAAGAATATCGGGTCGGTTTAATAAAATAAGAGTGATGGGTCGGGTTGGTTTATTATTTAAAATCAGGGTATAGATGGAATGCACCAGATTGTGACACGTGTCAAAATTTAGTGCTAAATATTTTATTAGTGAGGTTTGTTAAAAAAAAAGGCATATATGACCCAACTTATATACGGCAAGGGTAGAATTGAGTCCACTTTTTACGACGGGCAAATATGTACAATTTCATATAGTTTACTGGCAAATCTAGACCTTTAGAAACTTTTTTAAGTATATTGAGATCACAATCTCCAAAATATTTTTCAATAATATTTCTCCATTATAAGATTGTCTTTCTTATAACATAGGATTGTATCCCTCCATAAGCGTTTTTGTGAAACACAACTTAAGCGATTTGACTTCACAGCATCGGAAAAAAAAAAAAAAAAACTCAATTATTTATAAAATAAATATTAGTAACTGAATATGCCATTTTAGAAATATAAACAGACGATTTCTTTAAAAAAGTTGTTTAAGTATGTTCAAATTACAATCTCAAAAATATTTTGATTTTAAGATCGTCTTTCATATAACATAGGCTATTATATCTATTCTTAAGCATTTTTTTGAAACACAACTTAGGCGATGCACTTTAATATATAAAAATAGACAAAATATATAAGTTACCCCGGAACTCAGGATCAAATTCCGGTGACACACTATTTGAACACGATTAGCCTTTTACATTAGGGGTGTTCGTCGGTCGGTACAGTACGGTACAGTATTTAGACATTTCGATTCAATATTTTCGGTATTCGGTTTCTTAAAATGCTATACTAATACCGTACCTAATTAAATTCGGTATGGTTCGATTTTTCTCCTTTCGGTTTCGGTTTATTCGGTTCGGTAACTTCGTTTTATTCGGTTTGAATACTAACTAGCGCATAGAATCATAGACGGATTTTTAATTAAAATACTCGAAAGTATAAAACTAAAAACGTTTGTTAACAAAAGTTTTGTCCAAAACTAGCAAATACCAACCTAGAGAGAGAAAGCTGTACATAAAAGAATAAATTTGATCATTAGAAATGTCTTGTTACTTGCTTAGAGTTAATTGATGAACTTAGAGAATAATGGAAAGTAAAATTTTAAATTTTTTATATTTATATTATAACTAATAATATGTGTATTGTGTAATATAATACTCCATCTGTTTTAATTTATGTGAACCCATTTGACTGGGCACAGAGTTTAAGAAAAGAGAGAAGACTTTTAAACTTGTGGTGTAAAATGAGGCACATATATTTTGTGTGGTTATAAATCATTGCATAAAGGTAAATTGTTTCCAAATAGAAAAGAAGTCATTATTTTTGGTACAGACTAAAAAGAAAATAGGTTCACATAAATTGAAACGGAGGGAGTATATATTTCGGTACGGTATCGGTATTTCAGTATTTTATTTTAAAATATCAAATACCATACTTAATACTATTTTTTTTAAATTTAAACCAAATATCATACCGAATACCAAAATATCGAATACCAAAAATCCTATTTTTACGCATCCAACTTATTCCAAAGTGTATTTAAGACATCATATTTGCTACGTGGTCTGTGAGTGCGTAACCAAATAAATAAGAGCGTGAACCCTTAAAAATAATTTCCCCAATCCTCGTTTATATATATATATATATATATATTTTAAATTATTGGTCCCCACAACCCCACCCTTTCCTTCTCCTCCTCCTCCTTGTCCTCCTCTTCTTCTTCCTCATACCCCTAACCCGAAAAATAGGGACAAAATAAAAAGTATGGGGAGTTAAAGCGTCCAACTAACCTAAAAGGTTTTTACAACTAAAAGAGAATCATCTATAAAATACTCTTTTTCTGTATTATCTTTAAAATTTTCAATTTAGATTATAGTTACTGTAAATAAACCCAGAAAAGATTAAAAGACTGTGAAAACGTATATTACTCTTCTCTGTGAGTAATGCTTTTTCTCTCAAAAATTTGGGGGCAACGTGTGCTAAAATCATAAGAACCAAAACGAAGAAATATAAAGTGAATTTTTTTAACAAAGGTCCATCGAGATTTGACCTGAGATTATCATTTTCCTCTCTGTTTTTTTCTCAAAGGTGAACAACGGAGAAGTTTCAATTTAGTTTTTATGTCTTCCGATCTCTGAGCTCGTTTGGATTAGCTGATTTGAAATAGCTGATAAACATTATGTGCGGAAAAACACTTTTAAGTGGTGAAGCTGATTTAATAAATAAGCAGTTACGTGTTTGAATACAAGTGCTGAAATTGATAATAAGCTGCTGCAATGTTTAATAAAAAAGTGCTGATAAGTTCTTTTTCTATTAAAATAACTTAAATAACCTTAGAACTGTTTATACTTTTAAGAGTGTAATTTCTTCAAAATTTTAGATTCGAGATCGATTCAAATACAAAATATTCTATTTGTCATTTTATTTTAAATATAACTGTGATTAGATAAGATAATTTTTATGATAAGCATAGTTTAATGAACATAGTTTGAACTGAAAAGAGGTTTAAATATGTAGGTTAGGGTTCCTATAATCTTGCAATAAGATTTATAATTCAAAATATAGTCTTCAGTTTTAGTAGTTAATATTTGTTATCAGAACAATACTGCAATAAGATAATTGAAGACCTAATGCATAACTTTATAGGATTCATCACGAAGGACACTAGTGTTTACATAAATACAAATATGCAAAGAAATAGAGAATTTGCTTACCTCAAATATTAGTGAGAAGTGCAGACTTGAAAATGCAAAGGTTTAGGTTTGAATCAATACGTGAGGAAATAGATTTGCGGTGAAGAAATAGGTTTGACGTAGGGATACATGAGTTTTATTTTAAAAAGGAATATTTTAGGGATAAAATAGTAAAAATTTTGGTCAAACTTAAAGTGATTATAAGCTAAAAAATTATAAGTTAGGGGTGACCAGCTTATAGCTTTTGCCTTATTTTTGGCTTATAAGCACTTGGCTTATAAGTACTTTTAACTTTGTCAAACGCATAGATAAGCATAAAAGTGCTTATAACCTTATAAGCTTAGCCAAACACCCTCTTTGTCTATGGTTTGTTATGGGAGGTATCATTGCAAAAGTGAATTTGTGTGAAGGTTAGGAGGTGGTTATGGCTTTTTTTTTTTCGAGGTCTCCGGCGACGGCAAAGGGCAAAAGAAGATGGGAAGTTAGTGTATTTTAAATCAGGGTTATAAGAGTAATTTTTGATATTTTCTTTTATTTTTTTCAGTTAATAACATGTGTCACGATCTTATTGATGCGTGACATTACATATATTTTGAAAAACGGATCAAGAAAAAAAAGTGAGTCTCAGACACACTTTGTGAAAGATTGAGTGTGTAAAAGATTAACCGTGCTTAGAAAGTGTGTCATAGAGATTTGGTCCTAAGTTTCGGGGTAAACTATGTATTTTTCCTCTAAAAATATAAAAGAGAAACTTATTGTTAATAATACCAAATAATACCGGAGCACGAACACGGAAGAATAAAATTCAATTGTCAGATAGGAATAATACCAAATAATTCATAGTTCTGATTGATGAGTCGCGAGCCTATGTTAACGAGAGGCTGGAAGTTTGGAGACAAGCTCTTGAGTCTAAAGGTTTCAAGCTGAGCAGGAAGAAGACGGAATACCTGAAGTGTAAGTTTAGCACTGAGCCGGGAGAAGTGGGCGTGGATGTGAGTCTTGACTCACAGGTCATCCCAAGTAGAGGCAGTTTCAAGTACCTTGGGTCGGTTATCCAGGGGGGAGGGGAGATCGACGAGCATGTCACACACCGTA